ACAGCAACTGATTATGGGAGGACAGCTAGCTAGCCTGTTGATTGCCCCATACACACACTTGATGGGAAGCCTGGGCCATCTTGGAGAACAAAAGCAGAGTGCCCACCCAAGCCTGCTTACCTCCTCCCAGGCAGGAACAAGGCCAGGCTGTGCTTCAGTATTCAGGCAGCCTAAGAACAATTTGTGGAGTTGGGAGTGTGAGCTTTGGCCACACTTGGAGGGCATCCTGCAGTGGGGCCCTCCTACAGCTGGGAGTGCTCCAGGCAGTGGAGTCCTGGACTTGAAGGAGCCTGTATTGACAGCACAGTGCATTGGAACATGGCTTGAGAACCAAAATCAACTGAAAAAGAGAGGATAAAAATGTGACCTTCCAAAAACAGTTTGTGGGAACTAACTTTATCTCCAATAAGCTGCCTACCCAAATCCTTACTCAGAATCACAGTTTTGTTTGTCAGGACACATTTCCGTTTGCCTTTATCCTTCCATGAACCACCATCTTCTCTTACACAAGACAACTCTGTCCTCAGAATGAAGAAGCACAAAGAACAGAAAGTTGTAAGGTTATAGATTTCCTTTAGGTTTCCTAAGTATTGAACATTAAAGGAACTAGAAAAAAATGGTTTGTATTGTGTTGGGGCCTGTTACAATACCCTAATGACCTATGTCTTGTGGATTTTGCAGAGCATACAAGGAGCTCTTTAAAGACCAGTGAGAGACAGGACAGACCTAGCTTGCCCACTGTGATAAATACTTTGCACCTATTAGGGCGTTTTACTCTGCCCAGAGGCAACTTTGGGTATATGAAAGGGCCTCCCTCTCCCTCTGGGCAAAGAGGTGAAGCTTGAGTGGCACTGGCTGATGAGATAGCCCACAGCAAGACATAACACCTGGGCACATATTAGGATAGTAATGGGGCAACTCTAATTAATGTTGTGGCCCAGGAATGTGGAAAGACATGAAAATGCATCAGGAAGGATGGAGACTATTACTTGTGCTAAGTGAGGCTAGTGTGCATCCAGCACAGCACAGCTAACAGCAAAACCCCACTGTGCAAATCCCTGCACAGGTTTAGTCTTCCCTCAAGGATGTACTGTTTAATGAGACAAGAATAAAAATGTGAATGGGAGGATGTATTTGTGTTCTTACTTAGTGATGGGTATTTCAGGCAAAGTACAAATAAGAGCTCCGGTTCCTAGAGGCTGGTGTGAATGCATAGAGTCCTGAATACCCATGCTTTTGGCTTCACATGGGGTTTCACTAGGGTTGGGAGTTTGCTTCTTCAGGTTAGTTTGCAGAACCAAAAGAGGGAATAAAAAAGCAGTAGTTCTTCATCTAAACATAGGTACGAAATAACATTAAATTAGAAGTACACATTTATCTTTAATGAATGTACTAGGTTATACAGACAGGGATAGCCAGAGTGCAAGTAACAGTCAATAACAAAAATTCTGTTGTATATGTGTATGTATGTGTGTGTTGTTTTCTTTTTTCTTTTTGACAGGTATTAAAACATTTGAGAACCAAAAAAACCATCATTGGGCTATTATGTTCACCCTTCACCAAGACAAGAGACGATTTTTATTTGAAAGTCAATCAAAATTTTCTGCGATTGATTGGCCTTTCTACCAGCCACAAAATGCAGTGCAGCAACGCAAAGCCAATACAGGTGTACAGCTAAAGCAGTCTGCTGATTTTATCTACAGGCTCTATAGATCATCCAACCCTTCTCAGAAGTCATGAGGGAAGGGAAAAGGGGAACCGAAGCCAAAAATGACCTCTGAGTCCATGGTCATGCAACAGCTTTCCACGGTCAGGTCCAGGCTGTTCTCTCCTCTCTCAGAAAAAAGGGACTTGCCTCCTTTTGTCACTTGCTTTCCCTGGATCAGCTGTTATGAGGCCAAGATACTGTTTGTGAAGAATGACAAGTATAAGATTAGTATGTATGAAGACTACATGATTATAGGCAGGTAAAGTATCTGGATCCCATACTTACGAAGAAAACATGCAGAAACGGAGAGGATGCCTCGGGATCAGTAAATGAAGCCACTAGATGTCAGTCTCACTCGCCAGAAATAAAGAAAACCCAGCAGTTTCTACCGCAGTTGGGATCTAACTTTGATCGTGAGCTTTTGTTTGCAAAAAAGATTTCTACAGGGAACGCTGATGAGTACAAGTTTGGAGCTCTATGTTTTGCTGTGCTTTGTACCTGACAAGGTGGTTTTTATTTGGCAGAGCAAGTTGAAATAGGGACATCAGGGCTAATCAGTTCATCTTTAGCTTGCTGTGACATGGCTGCCTGTAATATGCTTTCCCCAATATTAACAGCTAGCAGTTGAATAGCTTGACATGCTGGTGGAAGTATTTTATGGTAATTTTTCAGCAGCCCTAACTGACACCAGCATCTCCCTGTGCTCGTTGTTGCTCATAAAATATGGCAAGAAAATTGCAAGCCAAATTAAAAAATCCAAGATATGTCTTGAATCAGTGCATTCCCCCTAGACCAGTGCATTTAACGTTAAAACTGCTAAGGAAGAGAAATCTTAAATCTAAAGGGGTTTATTCAGATCTTTTTTATTTTTGTTTTCAAGGACTCATTTTTTAAAGTTTGTGTAAGTATATTTTAAAATCAGATGCCACAAAAACAGAGAGAACAATAATCTTTTATTAAGATTCATTGTTATCCATATTCAAATAACTTTTAATTACAGAGGTTAATTACAGATGTTCTAATCTCCTCTCCTCTGAGCCCTTCAAAGAATCTCACCCAAAGAGCTTACTATTTCTAAGACGAGAAACAAAACTGAGATAACAAACAGAACCCCTTCTTCGCCAAAGCAAACATTTATACTTGGGCATGTAGTTTATCGAAGAACCTCATAAGTGGCATATAGCCAATGTTACATTTTAATGGAAAACAATACCTTTTTCCTCCTTCTGTCTTCATGACAGTATAAATCATGTCTTCATTTATTTGCCAAGCTGCTATAGCAAGAATTTAACTTCCCCGGTTTTGAGTTTACCTACAGCAATTAAAAGCAAACTTCTAGTTAGCTATTACAGCCAAAAGAAACTTGTCCAATAATATTCTGTCTCAAGGAAAATTTGCTTTATTTCAAGATGATCAAGTTTCCATAATAGTAATTAAATGCTAATTTCTCTTACAACCTGAACAAAACCTTTCTTTTTAAGTAAATGTGTCTTTAGTTTTCCCTCAAGTCATGACCAGTAATGGAAATTTGCAAAACTCTAACGTTGTGCTTTCTAAAGTCACCACTACAAAGGACCTGACTATAGCAAGATAATTTATAGCATCCATATCTTAGGAAATGTTCTCAGAGTTTCAGAACCTTCCCCATCCTATATCAGGAGAAAACTAATGCTTTAATAATTTGAGTGGCTCCAAAATCTAATTCCAGAAAGTACGATATGTACACGACCAAGGTAGTTAGCTGTGAGCGTGACCTCAATTTTCAGGTCCTTGTTGAGAATCAGGCACTTTCTTTGGGGATTTCAGTGTCACTGGCCAGGTGTAATGGTTTCCTTTGGTGAAATTCCACCTGAATGAAACAAATAATTATAAGTTAGCAAGTCTGAACAAAAATAAAGAAAAAGCGAAAAAGCAAGTTGCAATGAAATATTCCAGATTAAGGTCCTGGCAACAACACCATATTATCAGACTCTTTTCAGGACTTGATCCAGAGGTAGAGGGCATCTCCACCCTGAGATTGGGAAAAAAACACTGCATATTGACTCTTTGCTTTGACATACCATTACCTTTTTGGCCAACTGGAACTTCAGTCTACTTAATTGTAGCGGTCTGTATGGTGGTGGAAATTCAGTAGAACTAAGGACTTGCCTCTACAGGGAATTTTACTTTTCTTCACTAAAATAAATGTCCCCTGGGGACAACCCTTAATGATACAGCATCAGGAGTTTAAAAGGTAGTGAACAATCTCAGTGTAAGATCTCTAAATAAGAAATGTACCCAAAGACTAGCTGCACTGGTCCAAAATCCCTTAATATTGCACACACAAAAAGAGGCAATTTCTGTGTTCTCTTAGATGAGGAGTCTCTTTTTCAGCATTCTGGCCAATGGGAAATGCTACATTATATGGAAATCAGAACTCAGTCAGAAAAATATTAGGAAAAAGGGTGTATCAAAAGAAAGGCTGCGAGTTAGATATGTAAATTAATGTTGTGGTTTAGACCTAGCTAGTAACTCAGAACCACGCAGCTGTTTGCTCACTCCCCTCCTTCCCCGCACTCCAGGTCCGGGTGGGATGGGGAAGAGAATCAAATAATGTAAACACTATGGGTTGAGATAAGATCAGTTTAATAAATAAAGTAAAATAGAGTGGTAATAGAAAGAATGCCAATAATAACAATAAGAAGAAACAACAAGCGAAGAAATGAAAGCTCAGAAAACACAAGTGATCCACAGTAAAATTGCTCACTACCAGCTGACTGATACCTAGCCCAACCCGAGCAGCACTCTAAGCCTTCTGGGTAACTCCTCTCAGTTTATATGCTGGCATGATGTGCTGTGATACGGAATATCCCTTTGGCTAGTTTGGGTCAGGTGTCCTGTCTGTGCTTCCTCCCGGCTTCCTGTCCCCCTCCCCACTCACAGAACATGAGAGACTGAAAAGTCCTTGCTCAGAGTAAGAGCTACGGAGCAACAACTAAAACACCGGTGTGTTATCAGCATTGTTCTCAGACTGAAGCCAAAACACAGCCCTATACCACCTACTAGAAATAAAATTAACTGTTACAGCTGAAACCAGGACAATTAATAATGTACAGTGTTTCTTTCTCCTTGCAGCATTCTCCCTTGTATACTTCTGATATGTATCACACCCATCAATCCACAGTTAAACATTCACTACCATCAAGTTTTCAACATGTAACATTGCACACCATTTATGTTCCCTCCCTGACTTCACATATCCATCCTGCTGCCTAACCCCACCGTTTTATCTGTTCACTTAACATATCTTCCTATTCATGCAGATGATACTGATACTTCCTAAACATCATGGTTATTGATTTTCTATCTTGTAACTCACAAAAAAATCGCATTATTCACTCCCATCTGTGAAGATCAGGGGAAACTATCAGTCAAAACTGTCTGCCTAGCAATGTAGTCTAATATAAGTGATCTGCACGAGGCAACAGATTGCTTTGCATGAATGGGCTGATGGAGCAAACTCACCCTTTTAAGATACTTTTTCTTGGAAATACTTTAAGACCAGTGTGACAGTAGCATATCTTCTCCTGCACTTACATGACTCTGCAAAATGTGCTTTGGCAGAAAGCAGCACTACCAGCAGCCAAACTCACAATTTCCTTTCACAACTGGCAGGAAGCATTACCAGTTATTTTAAAATCCTATCCACTTTAAATGCAAAAATCACATTTGATTCCAAGCAGTGAGAACACATACCTAAGAAATGATGTGTCATTGATGTTCAATGACCCCCACCTTGTTTCAGCCTTCCTTTTAGCCCTCTCCTAAGTTCTCCCAGCAACAGAAAGCTCATAAGCTCATTGTAATACAGATGACTGCAGGGTGTGCTAATGATTAATAAAATTCACTGGAAAGGTTTGAAAAAAAATGCAAATAACTCTAAAGCATGCAACATATTTATTCCAAGAAATTGTACCCCCTGTGCTTTTAGTATCACAGCTCCTTTCTCTAGAAGGGTGTTCTGTTTCTGTTGTTCCTCATCTGTATGGTCATAGGAGGACACTGGACTCTTTTGAGAACAGGACTATAGGAGTTGTGTAAGTGAAGAACTTTAGTGTAATGAAAAACCATAACTTATTCACAAGTTAATTAACAGTTAACTGAATTTCTTAAGCCTTGCATTTTTTGAACAGAAATGTTATGGGTATATTTTTTACCTTACCTAAGTTCAACATGTAAAGTTTACTCCACTATTGACTTTAATGTTGTGATTGTGGGCTTGACAATTTATCTGGTGTTATCATGTATTTTTCTTTTCAAGTGCAGTATGAAGCTAATTTACCAAATTTTGTGACAAGTTACTCCAGAGATCCTTTAAATCTGAAGTTAATATCACAGAATTTAAACAGAGGTAAGTCCTTGACATTCACTGTGTTAAAGAAATTAGAGATCAGTATGTGAACAGTAGGGAGCAGGAGTAACGGGTGTAGAACCCCTCTAACTCACAGTGACCTCAAAAGAAGCTTGAAGACCAAAGAGCAATATTTTCTCCTAAGTGTCAATATCAGAGACAGTCTGCTTCCTAACTCTAAATAACAGGCTTGGATTACAGAAAATACACTAGTTCACTCAGGCAAAGACACTAAGCTTTAATGATACCTGATACAAGCAGGATAATTAGCTCAAAAACTCTGCTTCCCAATGTAGACTTGCTGATAAGACTGAAATTTCAACCTTGTAATGGTGGTTTACTCCCAGGCAACTGAGTCAAGTCCAATGTCTGTTATCCTCATTGTAGATACAATAGTCCATATCTGCATTCCTGCTGTGGTGGATAGTCCATAATGGGATGTCTGCCCTTTAGTGTAAATTTTGTAGCTTGACCTCTTCTAAGGATAACTTATTTGAAAATAATTAACTACACATTAGTCAAAACACACGCACACATACATACCATGGCATATAAACCACTACTTTCTTTGTACATTCACAGCAAGGCCATGGACAGAGTATTTTTTTGCTTATAATCTTTACTGTATATATCTGGGTTCTCTTTTTGTGCAATCCTATCTGGTAAACAATAAACACTGTTTTTCAAATCCCAGATAGTTTGTCATATAGCTTATAAATACTGTTTACTTATTATTTTCAGATCCTGGACTTGAACCACTGAAAGGAAAGCAAAAGAACTCTGGTCGGAGATTTCTTACATACAAGACTTGTGAAAACAAATGGGATACATGGCTGCTGCTACCAAAGAATCCCTGGCCACCTAAATCTGCTTCATTTACAGGTAGTTGATTAAAAGACAACTTTCTGTTTTTCTCTGAATCAAAAGCTTTTTAAAATTACTATTCTAATTATTTTTATTACTAGTAGTAGTATTACTTCTGAATTACAATGATTTCAGAGTGTTTTGGATCATCAATGAGAACGTCAGCGTTTCCACCCATGAGAAGTTTGTTGTAGACGAGATGGAAAAAAATGGTGTATTCTATGGGAAGTTTCCCCCCCAGGACTCTGGCAGCCAGGCATGGGGACTGTGTTGGAGGGCACTGTAAAGTGTTAACAACCCAGGAACATTGAAGGACAGGTGTGCTGGCAGCTAAAAATGTGTCTCCTAACACATTAAAAAGCTGTCCCACTTTCTACTTGCCTTAGAAAACCGCTCACCAAGATCCTGCTTTGAGTAAGGGTTACTCCTCAAGAGTAATCTCTTTCAAGAGATATGACAAGCAGACATACAGATTCTGACCGTGCTCAGACGGGTGCATTTTGCCAAGATGCACAGGCTATTCCACAAAGATCAGTGTTGCAAACCACACATTTTCACTGCTTCATCTCATTTTTACAGTTTGCTGTAAACCTGCATTTTCTCCCATCATGTTTGGCATTAGCTTCATATGACCTTGTAGGGTGATGGCTGTATTTAAATGTCAATGTTTTTCCTTTCACAGGAACTTCAGCCTATACAGAATGGTGCTCAAAAGAAAGCAATGTGATATGGATTCCATACCATTATCCACATTAACGTAGCAACCCTCTGGTCCTAAGAAATATGTTCATCTCACATGCTATGGAAGACACTAGTGGTCCTGAGTTGTGTCTTTTGTATATCCTGTGATGTCAGGTATGAGGTGTTTGAGAGCCCTGGCCCACTGTAACAAAGCAGTCTTAGATCAAACAGTACAAAACCTGGCACAGAGAGCCCCCTTTATCAGTGATGTTCACATATTTTAACAAAATGCCTGGGGTTTACTGTAAACACCAGCATGGAACAGAAACACACTAAATGCACTTTGTCTGGTTTATTAGTGAGTATTTTACCTCTTTCCCTTATCAGGTTCTGATTTCTGATGTAACATGAAAGGCAGTATTACTATCTCTTTCTGCTTAACAAATTTCTCTCTATATATATATTTCTCTGTATTGCTAAAAATTACTTACTAAGTCTTTAATTCATTGATTCTTTTCTCTAACTAGTCCCTCAAGTATCTGAAGGTAAAATAAATGGCACAGCCCATCACAGTCCTGAGAACTAGAGAGGCTGAGTGCCATCATGAACTTACTTTGAAAACTCCCTGTCCTTGCCACCCAAGTGCTGGTGATCAGCAGATAGTGCCAGAATGAATCTCCTACACTTCTTCCTTTCATAGGAACTGTTAATTACTAAGGATTGACAGCTGAAATCTCAACATGGTCAGATAGTTTGAATTCCTATTATAATCAGTGTAGGGGGGTGTTGAGTGAAACAGAAGCACTTTTTAGTCATAGTCTGTATTGCTGAGGACTTTAGAGGCATATCCAGAGCTAGACTTGGACTCAAATCTCTAGATTTAAACGGTAAATAAGCTACACAAAAAGTGCACTTCAGATAGTGATTTAGCATAAGGAAATTGTATGTTGGATTATTTTGCCCCTTCCAAAAGACAAAAAGCTACACATCACTGTGGAAAGCCTGGGATGCTAGGAAGAATCCCTTAAGCAATAATCTCATGACTCTGTGTGCACTGGCGTTTCTCCAGAATCTCCCAGATGTAACGCTTAGTGAAAAAGACAAAAAGTATAAAATGCTCATACTAGAAAAGAGCATATTTTTTGTTAAAGAGAGCTTCCTACAAGGCAGGGACATCTCCAGACACTTGGTTGAAATTTGGGGTTCCTCACATTTGGGTTTGGAAAGAATAAAGTCACTAGTCTGCCTGGGAATACCCTATTTTCTGAACATGAGGCAAACCCAGTCTGGGAAATGATGCTTTCTCTGTGCATGGCAAAGGAAAGATTTAGGACAAATTCTATTTCAGAAGTTATTAGGATCTGGACCTCTTTTTGGTAGACATAATCATAATATAATAGCATTTTATTTATGCTATCATGGATAATGATAAAAATTTAGCTAGGCTTACACATAGCAATAGAGGTGACAGTATAATAATATGATGCCCATAGCAGTCCTTCAAAGGAATGCCACTGACTTTGTCTTTTTGCAGATGGGGAAAAAGAAGCCCAGAGCAGGTAAATGAATTGCCCCAAAAGCATGAGGGAAGAGTCCATTACAGCCAACTCTTACAGGTAACCTTGATCTCTTATCACACATGTGGAGGTATTTCCAGTGTTCTTGAGGAAAAAAAGGAATAAACTTGTCTTTGACATCTGTGCATGACACCTTGTCTTTAAAAATGTAGATGACAGAGGTGTATCTTCATTCTGATCCTTTTTGACCCTTGTGTTTGCTTGCAGTGGGAAGTGAGACAGACGGGCATGTTACGGACACTCATTTCCTGGCTTAGGCAACTTCACTCTTTAATTAGAGGAGCCAGGAAAAAAGCCACAGAGCTGCTCTGCGCTGAGGAGAGCACAAGTTGCTAGAGCCTCTGGGGTACATAAGGCTATTAAGGAAACCAAGGTACCTGCAATAAGTCTATTTATGCATGGATAATGCTCTTTACTTCTAAATATCCAATAACAGATGTCCTAAGAACCTAAACTGAGAGTTGTAAACATAACGAACAGTGCCTTGAAAATGCTGGCTTTTTGTTCAACTGTTTTGATGCAATTACACTATACACCTTTATCATACGCAATATATACAACTAAGCAAAAAACTGTTCCTGTTAAGAACCCTATAAAGAAGTATGAAGTTTTCTTCTCTAACAGCACAGGTTTGGTAGGAAGCGGCTTAAAGACCATTACTGCTAGTGACAGGATAGATACCTTGCTTCCAGATTTCCACAGGTGTGTGACATCCAGCTGACGCTTTTGTGAAGGGCAGATGTAATGCTGCCATCCAGCTGTGCAGCTAGAAACCCCCATTACCCTGCCAGGCTTACCAGTACAATGCAGTGGCTTGGTCTGTAGGAATTGGTGATGGTGCTGTTCAACATGGAGATTTAGGTGCTCTCCGGACAGCAGTTCTGCATCTGCTGCACTGTTGGCTCGGTGCACTCCAGCACCCAGCAGAGCCCACCAGCCTTTTGTTGTGTCTCCGTGTACTACTCTCCATTGCAAAGGTTTACAGCTGCACCTGGATGAAACAGAGAACCTGAGCAGAGCATTGTGGTAACTCTTCATGCTGGCCCCACCTTAGAACTGGAGTTCTGTCAGAGTCCAAAGGGGGCTGAGGCTCCCCGCTCAGAGCTGTTTGCCATTCAGATTGATCTCCATCTCCTCTCACACGCTTTGCAAAGCTCTTGAAATGTGGGGTTTGTATCAAGGACTGGCTGAAGCGGTGTCCTCATGCCTCAGCAGCTGGAGATACATGTAAAATCTCTTAATCCTTGTTATTTTTGCATTCTCATTGTGGGGGTGCAAATGCCCTGTAAATCTTGCTGACAGCTACATCAGCCATTTGGCACACAGTCAACTGTGGCGTAGTCACCTCTTGCTCCAGTGTATGAGAAATGACCAGTATCCATCACCAACAATGCCAAGTGATCTAAAATCTGTTTTAGTCCATTGGTACTCTTCCATTGACTTTGGTGTACTTTGGAACAGGCTTACTGAGGTGAATACTTTTGTTTGAGGCAGCACTATTGGATTGTTCCTTTAGAAATGCTTTATGAAAACCTCTACAGCTTATATAAATGCGGAGAGTGAATATCAATACTTTCTAAAATACTAAATGGATGAGGCAGGGTTACAGGTTTACTGTAAATACTGTGATCTCAAAAATGACCACAAGAAGCAAGTGTTTCACAAGTTTCTCAGATCTGCCACCCATGCATACTGACTCTATAAAGACATATTAGTAGATTCTGTAGGTTATTAATAAAAACATCCCTCACATGTATAAAACTTACCCTTTACTATAAAACAGACAGAAAGCTTTTAAGGCCTCTGTTCAGGATGTCCTCCACCCTCTCACTGCACATTCAATGTTATCCCTAAAGTATTTTGGGCTAGATTTAACCATGTGAATGATTTACCTACTCATGTGAATGATTACCATGCAGATTAAAATCAGTGTTTGAATTATACACAGGACTCCTAATTCCAGTCTAAGCTATGTCAACATTTCTGTAAGTTTTTTATATTTCATTTGCCATGAATTTATGCCCAAATTCAACTAAAAGACAATTTTCTCTATCCTTCCTCCATCACAAACACATACATTTGAAAAATTAAGCACACACACATGGAGTACTCAGCTGGTCAGCAGAAAGTACTGTCAGTACTGAAAGTATTAATATCCTTGTCACACTAAGCCTTTGAAATACCAAATCTCATGCCTTTCCTGTGGAACAAATTCATAAATAGACATGAAACAGTCAACCTAACAGTTGGCTAACAATCTAAGTTTAAAGAATTGTGTGGCTGCCCCATCCCTGGCAGTGTTCAAGGCCAGGTTGGACGGGGCTACTGGAAGGTGTCCTTGCCTGTGGCAGTGGAGATGCCTGTGGTGGAGGCAGTGGAGAACTAGATGAGCTTTAAGGTCCCTTTCAACCCAAAACTTTCTATGATTCTATGAAGATCTTTTTGAGACCTGATTTACAAAAGCTGATTGCAGATAGCAGATTTGCTTGAAATAATAAAAATAAGTATCTCGTATTGACCACAATTAAAATTAACATACTGGAAAAAAATGTAAAGAATCATTTTCTGCCAGATACTTCTCTGCTCCATTAATCATTGCTTTGAGCATTGCATTATACCTTATCATGTTACGGTGATAACAGAGTAATTTTATTACCTTTGTAACACAGCTGCAGCTAGCCAACACTTTTCTGGTTAGTTCATCTCAGGAAGAAAAATACTAATTTGTTTTTATTCAAAAGGGACTGTTTTCAGAAAGGCACTAACTGCATCCAAAGAGACACATAGGAGAGCTTGCAATGCTAAATAAATGAGTGAAGCTGAAATGAGAAGTGTTCATTTAGGTAAGACTAATACTGTCTTACTTCGCCGCCGACTGCTTCAACAGCTCAGGAAGTGTGGGAAGCTCTCTGGCTGAATTTTGCACAGACCATGGTGAAGGGCAACAAGCAGAGAGGAGACTGGGAGAAGGGGAGTAGGGAGCTATGGGGAGAGGGCTTTGGAGGGGGCAGCTGGATGCCCACAGGCCAGCAGGAAAGGCTGTTGTTGCTGCAGGATGCCTGTACGTAGTTCTTTTAATAAAAAGCCAGTTCAGTTTTAATACCATGGGATTTCCTCAAGTTACAAACCAACAGGCAGAGCATGAAACACACAAGGTCTGTTCTGTAACTGTTTTAAACATGAAGCTTTATAAACATTGAAGTGCTACTTTTCCTCCACAGAGGCCTTTTCTTAGTTGGAAAAATAAAACAAGGAAGTGTCTGTCATGTAGGTTGTACTAAAATTATACTTAGTACAATAAACTTATCTGTAATAGCAGACAGCTGACTCTACCTCTCATATTTTACTTTGTAAAGAGAAACAGTTATTTTCTTTTTCTTCCTACGTAGTTGAAGAAGATAGTAGCCAAGTAGTGATGATATTCCTTGAATGTTCATCTCAAGATATGCATAGGAAAACAGCAATCACCTGGCACCAGTGGAAAGTCAAAACATGGAGACATACACAGATGTGTTCCTGTACGTGTTTCCCTGACAGGGTAATCTTTCTTCATGATTCTGTACCTTTGAAAGTAAATAGCAAACAGTGTTATTGGTGAAAATAACTAGAAACAGAGAAAGGCAAAGGATACCAAAGGGATTTTTCTTTTCCAAAACAGAGGAAATTTTCTGACCTTGTGGAAAAAGCAAGGAAGGAAAGGGAATATAATAGCCTTAAAATAGTGTATCAATATGCACTCTTCACTCTGATCATGTCTCTAAAAACTGGTTGGCATGGCCTGTGTGAAACATGAGCCCAAGCACCCAGAGGCTTTGGAATACATAATGTTCCTGCTCCGGCAGGGGGATTGGACTAGATGATCTTTTGAGGTCCCTTCCAATCTCTAACCTACTGTGATACTGTGATACTGTGATGTTGGCTACCTTGCACTGATCAAGGAACGTGTTTCTCTTGACTATAGGAAGAGTTGAGCAAAGCCTTAAGTGACTTCCAGATCTGGAACTTCAAGCACACAGTCCAATGTGCATAGTGTTGTGTTGCTGTGTCATTGAGGAAATAAGAACATGAAATTTATTAATTTATTTCTTGACTTCATTGCTCTGGTTTGGTTGGTTTGGTTTGGTTTTTACCTGTCATCACACAGTTTATCACAGTTTCACACCACTGTAGGTCCCATAAGGGTGGGCATCTCCTAGTCTTTTATTCTGTTCAGGATTTTATTTTTAAAAGTAGTATTTTGAGAAATATGCTCCAAGAAGTCATATAGGAAGAAGGAATGGTTTGGATAGCGACAATATTTACGTTTGGCTTCTAGACAGATCTAGTTGAGAAAGCTCCAGAGCAGAGCTTGGAAACATAGGACAGGAGAGTGCCAGAGACCTCAGAACATTGCACCAGGATGGTGGGATGGGATTATGTTAGCAGGATAAACTGGAGACCCAGGGAAAAGAGGTACCTAAACTAATGATCTGGGGGATAAGCTGAAGAACTAAAGGTGCTTTATAGCTGTTCAGTTGTTTTATTCTGTAAGACGCAAATGCTGTAGTTCTGTTTGGGAGCACAAATATATACAGTATCATTGACACAAAGGAAATGGGGGGGATAAATATTGGAGCTCTTATTGGATTCATCTATTCTGGGAACTATGACTAATGCTAGCTAGGATTGAGGGTGTGTAAATAATCTGAACATTTCACTGTCTCACATCAATTAAGCATTTTACCTTCCATTTTATTTTATTGGGTATCCACACTTTTATAGTGGACAATCAAATTAGAGTCAGAACAGGGTCTGTTGTGTCCCTGAGGACATGCCTTCTCTAGAACAATAGGCTCCATGCTTTCTATGCATAGTGCTATTCGGAAAACAGGGAGGTTGGGCCCTTTTTCAGTAAGCATGTCTCAAACTTTTGAAACAGAAATCAGTCCCAAGCTTTGATTTAAAATAGATCTTTCTTAGGCCTCATGGGCAGCAACAAGACCTCATCTTGAACATGCAGTACCGAAAGATAATTGTTTTAGAAGCTGCCTCCTGCAGGTCTGCATATCTCAGCAGCTTTTTAGCAAATTTGTATTCTTGCAATATTTCAGAGAAAAAGAAGTTGATTTTATAAATCTGGTGACCCTGATATAGAAACAAATTTAGGGATGCCTTTGTTCTCCTTCAGACAGCTTTGCTTTTAGAACTGCTAAACTCAGTGGGCAGATCTCCAATAAATGTCAGTGACCTTAGAAACTACTCAGTAGCTTTCCTGCCCTCTTCAACTGAAGCAGTGCTGAGGGTGTTTATTTCAAGATGCTGCGACAGGACTCTTGTTAGTGATCTTAGTGTTTTGTGCTGGTATAATTACAACACTTCAGGCACTCCTTCCACAAATTTAAGGATATCTTGCTGTAGAGTTATCTATGAGCTTAATGGATGTTGCATATTGAATTAATGGATCCAGACGATGACTGTG